GTATTGCAGATATGGAGCCATTGGGCAAGTAGTGACTGACAATGGCCCCAGAAGGAGCATTTGAACAACTCCTCATGCGTTTGATATTCCCCATGTCCAGATTTCCCCTTACAATTCCCAAGCTAATGGAGTTGTTGAAAGAGGGCATTTCAATATCAGAGAAGCTATAGTAAAAAGTTGTGGAAAGAATATTGCAAAATGGCCTGAGAAAGTAAGGCAGGCATTGTTTGCAGAAAAACATAACCACCAGTCGTGTGACTGGATGGTCCCCCTTCTATTTACATGGAGTTCATCCCGTTCTACCATTTGACCTAACAGAAGCAACCTTCATGGTAGAAGGATTCCTTGCTAATATGAATCCAGCAGATTTCTTATCCCTACGTATCCGCCAGATTGAAAGGCGGCAGGAAGACTTAGACCGTGCTGCAAAGACCTTGAAAAAGGCCCGGTTCAAGTCTAAGCTCAATTTGAACACAAGTTTCGTCTACGAATGCATCGCAAAGCTTTCCAAAAAGGAGACTTAGTCCTTGTACGCAATACAAGGATTGAGAAAGAACTCAATCGCAAAACCAAACCCCGTTATCTAGGCCCTTTTGTTGTAGAAAGACAACCCAAGGGTGGATCTTATGTCTTAAGAGAAATGAATGGTGTCTTATCTAAACGTGGTGTAGCTGCATTTAGACTCGTACCATATATCTCTAGAGATTTATCATGATTATACCATCACTAGCAGATCCCCTTGAAGAGGAAGATGATGACATATGCCTGTCAAGTGCCAATGTATCAACAGAAGATGAGTCAGTCATAGAAAGTGATTGACTTATTTCAACCCATCCCACCCACCCATATTCTATGGACATGCATCATATAGTACTTATGTTTGCATGAACTTAGAGAAATATGACTGCCAAAGAAGAAAGATCTGTACTTGACAGCTTCTTCCTGACCCACATTGGTGCCCATATCCCATTTCATGATTTCACCCCACCATTATGCATGATTTGAGCACACAACTGGGGACAGTTGTGATTTCACTGCCCCGCGGAGTGTCCTGCATGATTTGGAATCATGCATGGACATGACTACTAGGTATCCCCCTAAAAGACAAAGTCTGTTAGCTTAGTCCTCAGACTAGTCAACCCATACCTTGGTATTCAACCTGGTCCAATAGTTTCAGTTTTCCCTCAGTGATTCATGAATCCACCATGTTTTGAAGAAAAGTCATATGTGAGATGGGAATCACATAATGACCTAGTTGATATGAGAAGCAAAATGAAGGTTAATGTATTGCCTTTCATTTGGCTTATTCACTTTGGCTAGAGAAACCCATAGAGAAAAGTTCAAAGCCTAACAAAAACCTATCTAAAAAGCCCGCGTATTGTGTACTATTATTTTGTTCCATTATTTCTGAGTTGTTTTCTCTAGTGTTTCTTTACTTTACTTTTCTATTAGGATGCTCTGACTAATCAGATGCTTCATAAAATTGTACCTACAGGGTATGATGTCATAATGATGTCATAGGACTTCACCTACACTCCTGCAGGTATTTTGGTTGAAAGATATGATATCATAGTGATGTCATAATGATGTCATGTTCCATGGAATTTGCTTAGAACATTCCAATGACTCATAATGACTCATAGTGACTCATAGTGACTCAGAATGATGTCATTATCCCACCATGAATATTCTGGAATGTTCTTTTGCACCTGCTAGAACATTCTGCTCCAGTTTTTGGAATATTCTTCTCACATTCTGAAGTCATTACATCACCTTTTTACTTACATAATATTCCCACACAAAATGTATATAAGGAGAGCCCATTCTCCCCCAAAAAAATAGATCTCCCACTTGTTGCATTCAAGAACTCCCACTTGAGCAAATTGAAACTCTCACCTAAGAAGCTTCAGTCTGAACAAATTGCTGCTTACAAAGCCCATTTCCTTTGTAAGAACTGTCCAGGCAAGTGCAGGGAAAGTGTTTCCCTTGAGATTACGTAAGTTTCTCGCGATAGAAACCCAGTTTTGTGAGACCAGTGTTCTCACCACGTAGTGTTTACTGACCAACACGAGCTTTGGTCACCGTTGTTATTTGTGAGACCAGCGTTCTCACCAGGTATTTGTATACTGACCAACACGAGCTTGGTCATTGTTGTTATTTGTCATTGTTTTCTATTTGTCATTTGTTGTTATTTGTGAGACCAGCGTTCTCACCAGGTATTTGTATATTGACCAACACGAGCTTTGGTCCACGTAGTCACATTTGAGACCAGCTTCTCAACAGTTAACCGTATATTCAGGAAACCAGTTCAAGTGTCTAGACGGTATATCCTAGACAATCCCATAGTTTCAATCAGAGATAATAAAGCTCCGGCTAAGTTAATCTGACTGATTGGTTTAGCGAGCCTCCCAAGAACTCACACGTTATCTACCACGAAAGAAGAAAAGTCGTAGACCGTGTTAATCGAGGACTGGCAAGAAGTCTTATCCAGTGTAATTGTGGTGTCATTACATTCTTACACGTTTTCATATAAGACCCTCGGTTATTAAGACAGCGTGTGACAGTGGTTGGGCCCCATTCGCATTGCGCTGCTTATGGAACACAATATAAGCCTTGATGATCCTGTTGACACAGTAAGTTAAATCGTGAGTGATGAGGTGATACTCACCTGGCATGTCCATCTCGTGTCCGATCTGTGATGCTGCTTCGTGCAATGCCAGCTGCATAATCTGCTAGCTCAGACACATCATCATCTGGGAAATCTTCGAGGCAACTTGTCATCAGACTATCAAGGTGCTCATCAGACCATACAGCCTCTTCGAGGTCCAGCTGGACTTGCTCATCAGCAATCTGCAATGGGTCAGTTTGAAAAGGTTCAGCCAGTTGTTCAGGAGATAGAAATTGATTGAATCTGCCTCGCTCTCGGTGACCTCGCTGTTTTTGTTTCGCGTCATCTTCATTTTAGGCTTCCGCACCATTGTAATAACCTGTGAGAGAAAGAGGATGTCATATGTGTTTCCGTCGTCGTCGAAGGCAGCAGTGCAGGTGTCATTATATTATTTACATAGCAATAATAAATAATTTACAATTTGCTGCTGCTGGAGAAGTCCAGCAGCAAAAAAAATCGGTTTGCAATGAAAACAGGCAGGACTGTCAAAGGAACGAGAACATACAGTAGAGGGAAACTTCGGCTACAAGGCTGTGTAGTGCAGGCTGCAGGCTCACCTGCCTGGTCAACTGTAGGTAGTGCTAGTTACATTTTTGCATGAGGATGGCATGTTCGAGTTCGAGAGAGCTACATACCTTGTGGATGCACACAAGACTGCTCCAGTGTCGAAGCTCAGGTGATGTTGGGGAGGGGTGATGCTGTTGGTTAGCAACAGGGTTGCATTGCGATGCACTTATCTAGCGTGCACTGGGACGACTTTCCAAGCAATAGGCAATCTGTCCTGGAAGTGAGCAGAATGGATGGCACAAAAATTGTTGTCAGTGGTGGTGGTGGGTAATGGAGCTGTGGGTTAGTGTGGTGCGGCATCCGTTGACAGGTTGGGTACTTGCCGAGAGCTGTAGAATGTGATGTAAGTGATGAGGTGCACAAGTGAAGTGTAAGCGAGAGACATACCATACCAAAATAAGTACCATGCCCCATGAACACCCTCGGTTCTGGTTTTTCATGGGGCACAATGCAAAGGGGGAGTGGGTGAAAAAAGGGAGAAAAGCATGCCCCATGAGAGCCCAGTGGAGGGATAAGTCATGGGGCATGGTGTTTTGCCCTCGGTGTCTGTCATTAGTCTGTGAGTACCAGATACAGTGTGTCAGTACCGTAAACTTACCAAAAAGAAAAGTGACGCAAGGGGAAACATTGACGGCTGTCGAGGGAACAGTCAGAAACAACTTCAAAGAGGCTCTCATGCCCTGCTTCAACGAAGCAAACAAGCTGGTGTCTTGCCAAAGACACACAAAAACGCTGAGTGAAAAACACATCAATATCAGCGTATTTTTAAACACCATCAGTGGAGCCACAGATGCACCTGCTCAATAGTTGCGCTGGAGAACTTCCATCAGCTGCCGCAAATCGCCAAGCGATTTTTGGGGGACACATCACTCGCATGCGTGCCGTCAATGCCGCCATTTCCTTTTATATTTTTCGTCATGCCCCACCTCAATCTAAATGTTGCTTCTCTCTTTTAGGGAAAGCTTACATATGAGTTCACACATGAATATTCAGAACTTGGCAAGATCAACCTTAGTCAATTCTGATGACTCATGAACTCTGTTTGACTGCTCAATTTGTCATCTGGAACCACTATTTGATTATTGGCAATCAGAATGATCAGACTGAGTCAGTTCTATTTTATTCAATAGTATACATGTAATATTTTATTACAAATAAGTGGAGCAGGATATCCCAGATATTGATCTGGCACTCGGTGTGACAATCATACCAGCACTAGGCGTGTATGAGTGCCATAGGCATATTTTGCCTTGCATAGAGGAAAACAGTAAGGCGCTAGTCATCAGCGCTATTCAACTCCCAAGCTATCCGCTTTGGAACCGCTTTTCTCCCATAGCGCGCTGCCCAGCCCGACACCTAGGTATCCCATCCTCCCATGTCCTGCCTATGTCCACCTACCTCCGCTGGTGTGTTATATTTCCTTAAACGTCGCTACTCATCAGTTGCAGGTCTTATTACATGCATCCTCGTGTTCTGCTGCGCTGCATGTCTTATTACCTGTCGCTACATCGTGCCTCCATCAGTGTCGCTACTATTCTCGCCTACGCATCCCGAACTTTTACGCAGTATGATAAAATGACCCGTCACACATACAGTACAGTACTTCCCTTCCCCGGACCTTTGCTGGTGTCGGAGTCACTTTAGTCGCTATATCCTAGTTTTGGTGCAATCGATTCCGCTCTTGCCAATCTCTCTGATCACGTGTCGCTTGACTTGCTTTGAGTGCGCGTCGCTAAAGTTCCCTCATAAGTCTGATTTTTGCAATGTAGGGATTGTTATCGGTAGTCAAGCTATAATCTAGTCGCTATCGGGCATTCCACTTGCACTATCACACCTTATTCCTCGCTTCCCTTCTTCTGATTTCTTCTCGCTGTCGCTAGTCGGACGACACATAGTGCTATCACATAGGACAACTTGCATAGCGCTCCTCACTTATACGCATGTTTCTCTGTCGGAACTCACTTGTTGCTAGTCGCTGATCACTACAGCGCTACTCATTGGTTTTTGGTCTTAGGTCGCTATAGGTTATTAGTCCTTCGCATCGTCGCTACCCTTGCATATTTGAACATATTTGAAGGGAGTTGCTTCAATAGCAGTCCTCTTGGGTTGAATACTACACTCGCGCCTATTTGGATAAGTAGCGCTAGTTTCTAACCAGCCTAGTTGCTATTACTCTTTCACACTGGCTTTCTTTCCCACGCCAAATGTATAAAAGGAGGGCTTCTTCTCCACTGTGCAAAAAAAGATTTCCCACTTCAACTCTGTCTGTTACAGGAAGTGCAGGGACCACTGTCTCCCTTGAAATCACTCTTGTCTACACTAAGATTAGGTAATCTTAGTCCTGTATTTACTCACTATTGTTAGACTCCAGCTAGTCTATCACTTGTATTTAGTTCTCTAGTCCTTTGTTGGTCTAGATCTGTTGTATTCTTGTTGTGATTATATCAGCAAGGATTTGTTTGGGAAAAGCTTTGTCAGCATTTCCATATTTAGTCTTTAGCACCTTTCAGCCACAACTTCAGTCCAGCTTAGTCATCAAGTTCACACACCCTTCCAGCTTGAAGTATCTGTGTGTTTAGCCTATTCATTCTGTGTTAAACTCCGGTGCAACCCACCAAAGTTTACCTCCTGTATCAAGTCAATCAAGTCTATCAGTGAGATTCTGAGGATGTTTTTATCCCAGGTCACAACCTATCTAGTCTATCTTATCCATTGCTTCAGCCAAACAACCGACTGTATAGTCTTGCCTCCAATGAACACCACATTATCAACAGAAAAGTAGAAAATCCGTTGACCGTGTACTTGAGGAGTTGGCAGCTTTTGTCTTATCTAAGTGTAGTTGTGGTGTCACTACATTTTTACACGAAAACATATAAGACCCTCAAGTAGTAAGACACCATGTACTTAAGGACTGGCAAGAAGTCTTATCCTGTATAGTTGTGTTGTCACTATACACGTGTTGTACATAAGACCCTTAAGTAGTAAGACACCACATGGTTTTTGCAAGGCCACCTGGTGAGTTCTCACAACCCAACAGCCAGATGGACCATGCTCGTTCATTCCAGGCTCTGAAGTTCCATCCGGAGGTCTCAGCGACCCTTAAGGGGATAGACGCTCTTTCTGTCCAGGTGCTACAGAGACTGGCGGCACTCATTGCTGCAGCGTTGAGAGTCATGCACCCTAACCTCTATTGGTCATCATTGGCAATAGTGCTGGCCCTTGGTCTCTGGGCGACCGACAGGAAATTGGTTGAAATGGGAGATTGTCTTAGAGAATGGGCATCCGTGTTTACGGCTGTTGCTGTTATATGCAACCAACATCACCCTTGCACCATGATCCTCTATCTCATTCCCAATGGTTCAATGTTATGACCAGCGTCGGCAATTATGGAGCAGCAAGGATGAAGATGCCTAATATAGGCATTGAAGTTGTGTATGATTCAGGGGTGATGTTTATTGGTTTGGGAAGAATTGTAGGCATGGGGTGGATGTGATGGATGGCGACTGAATAGGCTGGGTGTGGTACATGAGGGATGATGTGCATGAGTTTGTAGATATGCCCCAAGCCAAC